TACTTCCATCTTTTCGACTTTGAGAAGGTTGTTGAAGTGCCAAATGTCAGCTTGAGATGACATTGGAGGCCTTGAGAATGTTAAGAGGGAGCTTCAAGAGGTGATATATTTTTCATTCTGGTTTCTTATGTCCTTTATCCTGCTTGTAGCTAATTTTTTTTAAATTGTATTTTCTCTTCCTATATAGACTGTTCAATACCCTGTGGAGCATCCAGAGAAGTTTGAGAAATTTGGAATGTCACCTTCAAAGGGGGTTCTTTTTTATGGTCCCCCTGGTTGTGGGAAGACATTGCTGGCTAAGGCAATTGCAAATGAATGCCAAGCAAACTTTATCAGTGTCAAGGGCCCAGAACTGCTCACAATGTGGTTTGGTGAGAGTGAAGCCAATGTTCGAGAAATATTTGACAAGGCTCGTCAATCTGCACCTTGTGTCCTTTTCTTCGATGAGCTTGACTCCATTGCCACCCAGGTTAGTTCATTATTTCATTGTCTCTCAAATTACTAATATCAGATTTACCAATAGAATTTATTTCTTTAATTTTGGATTTTGAATATATATGGACCAGATAACAATTGTTCTATGCTGAGCTCTAATGTATAATGTCCTTATTATGTTATTGGATTGCAGAGGGGAAGCAGCGTTGGAGATGCTGGTGGTGCTGCTGACCGTGTTCTGAACCAACTCCTTACTGAAATGGATGGCATGTCAGCAAAGAAGACTGTCTTTATTATTGGAGCTACCAATAGACCTGACATAATTGATCCTGCACTTTTGCGGCCTGGTCGTCTTGACCAGTTGATTTATATTCCTCTTCCAGATGAAGAATCCCGTCTTCAAATCTTCAAAGCTTGCTTGAGAAAATCACCTGTCTCCAAAGATGTTGATTTGAGAGCACTTGCTAAGTATACTCAAGGCTTCAGTGGTGCAGATATTACAGAGATATGCCAGCGAGCATGCAAGTATGCCATTAGGGAGAACATAGAAAAGGTATGCTTTCTTTTATCTTTATTCTTCGTTCTCATTTTCAACAGGTTTCTGTTCTATTTATCGATCTTTCTGGGATTAGATGTGAAGTTTTGTTTTGGTTCCTTATTG